TTAAAACAAAACATAACTTTTCGCACTTACACTCCTTTCAAACAAAAACTCTTTTCAAACCCACAAACACAAAGAAAAGCAAACTTTTGAAAACACAATGAGCAAGTACCTAAGAGCCCGTGGATAACCACGGATAGAAAGGGTGCTAACACCTTCCCTTTCTATAATCTACCTCCCGAACCCGAGAAACATCTCGAAAAAGGAATTTTTATGTGATTTTTTCCTTTCCTTGTTGGATAAAATAAAAGACGGTGGCGACTCTTGCTTACCACGATATTTTGCGAAAACAAACGCAAAACATGAACCAGCATTCCAAAAATAGTCATTTCTCATTCCCACCGATCACAGAACTGGCGACTCTGCTGGGGATTATTATAAGTGAGGTGTACCTTAGGATTAGATCATTGTGTTTTCAATTGTATGCTTTTTATGATTTACATTTGTGGGCTTGTATCGGAGTTTCTATAGATCCTAACCCGGATCTGGGGAGTACCCTTTAGGTAAGTAGCAATAAACTGTGAGGGAACTGTCGGACGTAGACCGATACGGTTAAAGCAGTAGCTATGTTGGTGTGGCACTTTAGTCTGTACCGATATCCCTTGTGTTGGAACAAGGAGAATATGGGTCTTCTAAGGGGTCATTAAGCACCAACTGACCTTAGAACCTTTAAATTGACCAACTTGGCCATAGAACATTAGCAGTATGCTACACTCATTGAGACTAAACTCTCGCGATGATTCCGGCCGCAAGAAAAGGTTGCTAAACTAGAATTATGACCGATTGAGGGTAGTCAGTGATATTGAGATCCTCTAGAACCTGGTTACTATTTTTAGGATAGGTTTAAACCAACTGAACTGAAAGAGGGTAGTACCTAAACTCTATGCCAGCCTAAACTTAAGGCTGTTTGTGTGACTTGTGTGCCTTCAAACTTAAAATACTTGCACATTCTTGTTATCTGACAACATGAGTTCCTTGCAGGTTTTGTTTACAGTCCTTATCCAATAATTTGGATTTATTGTAGGGTTTCTTACATCACTTCACACTTTTGCTTAAACGCATAGCATACACATCATAACATCATGCCTTAGCATTTCCTTAACCATTTCAAGGATCTCAAGGGTTTGTGATGCAGATTATGGTAAATCAAATGTCTAGCAAGGGGCAAAGGGGATTTATTTTCCTCTAGCCAAGGTTGTCTAGAAATCAAAACACGATAACTTGAGTCAGGGGATATGACCCACTCGATATGGTGAGCTTGACTCTTGAAGAAGGACTCTTAACAACATGAAGTTTCTTCAATCAAAGCTGCAAAATTAAAATTCTAACAAGTTTCTTGTTTACCCCGCGGGATCCTTGAAAATATTGCATACATACATATCATTGCATAACAGGTCTCCCAGTACGGGTCTCTCATGTTCTCGTTGTTTATTTCAGCAATGGCTTTCCAACCAGACAACCAAGATCTTCAAACTCGAGAAGCTCAGTTCAGGGACGTATTCCTAAACCTATCCAAGGGGCAGGAAGAGTTGAAAACACTCCTTGTTGGGAACTTGGTCAAGAAAAGTCCTGAAGACAATAAGGACGAACGACTGGAACAACTGCAAGCTGAGTTCAGTGCCATGAAAACCCAAATGCTGGAGTAGATGGCTCTTATCCAAGGCTTAGCTCAGGAACAAGAAGAGATGAGAACCATTATCAACCAGCTTCATCAAGACAGATACAACAACATGAAGCAAACAGTCAAGGCCGGGGACCAAGTCATTAATCAACATCCGAGAAGTCAAAGGTTTGGTTTGATGAAGAATAGACCTCTCCAAGTTGCTACTACCTCACGGGTCCAACAACGACCTCGCCAAGAACAACGGGTTGATCAGAGTAAGCCAAACATGCCCAGGAGGGAATTTACCAAGCTCAACATGCCGTTGTCTCAAGCTTTACAACACCTGTTGAGATTGAATCTGGTGACGTTGAGGGACCCTCCTAAGAATACCAACACAGCCTCCCCAAAGTACGATCCTAATGCAAGGTGTGCATATCACTCCAATAGCCCTAGGCATGATACTAACATCTGTTGGGCGTTGAGCAACAAAATTCAAGACCTGATTGATGAAGGAGCATTGGAACTCACACAAGACAGTCAGATTAAATTCTTTTGCCATCCCCCAAGGTTCACCATTTGAAGTGACAAGTACTAAGATGAGAAGACTTTTTGTTCATTAGAATTTTCAAGTTGTAATTTTCTTTTGATTGTTCGAACATTTACTCATGTCAAACTTTATTACTTTATCAATGCATTGCATATGTCTGTTTTGAATTAGTCCATTCGTATTCACTATATTCAAATTGCTTTCATTTTTGTGATGTTCAACTCTCGATTAAAAAAATTCTAAGCCTTTAGAGGGAGGATGACGAAAATGATATCAAAATCTCTACAGTATGCTTTTGAACAGACCCTGCTGACGAGGTACAAGCATTGTTTCAAATCCTAAACAGTGGAGTTATAAGGAAGGTAATCCCTAGTCAACCCCTTTGAGCCAAAGAAGTTGGAGTTTTTTTTTCCATAAATTAAAACCCTTAATTATAACCTGGGGCAGGGTAGTTTTCTCAGTTGATCCAGGTGCACAATGAATGGCATCAAAGAAGTCCTTCCGAAACAAAAGACGGTGTTGGTTCCGTATAATCGTAAGGACAGGCAGTCATTATCTCTCAAAATAAAAGCCCAATAAGTCAAAACCTGTGAAGGAGACTTAAGAAAAACGGGGGCATCCCGCTGACTGTAATCACAAAAAGAAATAGTTCATGCAAAAAAACAGGGATAATAAAAAACAAAAGGGAAGAGATCCTGCAAACTCTCAACAAAATGACAGCCTGTTCAAAATAAATTGTCAGTATTCGAACCATCACTGGTATATCAGAGCAAAGACTCAAACAAGATCTAATGCACGATTAGCTGAGTTTAGGATCGAAGAACATCACGAAGAAAGGGTGGGTACAAATAAAATTTGAGCCTTTATCCTTTGTTTCTTAAACCGTGAACCAGGCCACGTTATAACCCTTAAAAAGTCCTAGCTGAAGCATGGGTTAGTCCGAAAGCATACTGTTACAAAAGATATCCTGACTCCTGTAGGGCTTGCTGTAAATCCTGAGTTGACATCACATTTTACAAAATTTTCCTATCTTACTGAAAAAATGCATTTTCAAAAACTTCAAGACAGACATAAGCTTTTCATTCTTAAAATAACATTGTTTGCATATGACTATTTGTTCAAACAGCAGAGAAATTCGCACGAGGAATATCTAGTGAACAAAAAACCTTTTCAATAAAAAGGGTCACCTCAAGTGGAAAAACACTTCCAATCAAGGGGCACGGCATGAGCATTGTCCATCATCTGTGTTGCACCCCAAAATTTGCCCTCCTAATTACTTCTATTTTTGCTTAGACGTTTGCATTCATCTGCATCATTCCAATAGGTCATGTGCATAACACGCATTTTCATAAAAATGGATCACCTAAGGGTCAAAAGACCAGCAGTTAGGGAGCTAGGGTTTGCAACTGATTTGAGGTATATGTGTTGAATAAGTTTGATTATCCGTGGTCTTCTCGGTGTACAAGGTTTTGGAATTAAGGTTTTGAGCATGCTCATTTCTGGACTTCTTCAACACCAAGTTACTGGGCTAATATCTTCTGATGATCAACTGGTTGTAGGTCATTCTGGTCAAGAACTCCAGGACGTGACCTAGCATATGTGGGCTTCAAATCATGGCGTCCTTTTCTATAAGTATGCCTATCACTTGATCAGGCTTAATGACTTAGACATGGCATTCATCCACTCTTCAATTAACCAATTCAGGTTTTGTTGAATCATGGTTCAAAGAATCATTGGTTGTGAAGCTCGGGTTTTCTTTTAGTTCGAGGTGTTTATCAAACGAGACTGATTCTTCTGGTACATTGAATTGTGAATTTAGGGTTTTCATTTATGGTTGTTGTGGATTTCTTCTTTATCAAGCTACAAGGCTATTATCTTCTGCTGAACAATAGGTTGTAGGGTATTCTTGTCAATAACTTAAGGTTGTGATCTCGCGTACATGATCTTTGATTTAAAACACATCATTCTATCATTGTGCTTATCATTTGGCCAAGGTTTTGACAATACTAGAGGTGTGTTAAGATTTCTCTAAAGGGTCAAGATCTGTTATCAATCCAAGATGCATATGATTCTTGCGTTACAGGTTGTTGACTATGTCATTGTTGCATTGAGTTCATCTATCCATAAGTTAATCAATTAGGGTTGGGTACGTCATGATTTAAGATATTTTGTATGGTAAATTTGGTTGCTTGATGGTCAAGGCATTACGAATAATTGGTACAAGTTATTGTTTGGATATTTGTGCAAGAACTCTGGTTTCAAACATGAATAAGGTTACCTTAAAGATTTTTCGCTATGGTTAAAGTCCCTTTCATCTTCATCTAAGGATGCTCCAAAGGTACTGTTTTGTGTTAAAATCATCAAGCAGAAAAGTTTTTTTCCAAATCAGATATTGAAAGATTGAGTTTCCAAGGTCAACTTTTCCAAATCAAATATTTAAAGATTGAGTTTCCAAGGTCTTGGTTCATGCTGTGAAAGATGAAGTTACAATTCAAGTTAACATGGACGAAAGAGTTGAATTAGGAGGTTTCATTGAGTTGAAGATGGTTCAAATTCGGTCCAAGTTTATATTAGTATTAAAAAAATAATAATAAAAGATGCATTAACATGCAAATTAAGCTACGATCAAAGTTCCAAATTGATTCAATTAAAACTCAATATTTTATTCACTCATATGTTCGTGTTTACAATACTTTGCAAATGAAAATATCATTTCACCATAAATTACCAATACTCATTTGTCTAAATTCAAGCACAAAGTCTATTCAAGGTCTTTACACAAGTTCGTCCAAGAGAAAATTATAAAGGGATTACAATTGCAAAATCAAATTCACTTTGCAGTTTAAGAATGTGCTACAAAGAGATCACAAAAGATGTCAGCTTACATAGGTTGATCAAGAATCTAACTATAACTATAATCCCTATCTCCCTAAGCCTGTTGAAATTATCTCTTCTCTCAACTTCATGTTGCATTGGATTCCAAAATGCCTCCATGCCAAGTCTCGCCTTCAAGAATACCTTGCGCCAACTGCTATACACATCATAGCACTCTTTCTTATAACCAGTTGCTACCATCAACTTCATTGTTTCATTAAGATTATGGATCTTTCTTGATGACAGAGAATCCATTACATAATCAGACTTACCGAGTAAATGTAATTCACTCTTATCTAGATTGTATTCCTTCACGAGCTCCATAAGCCTGTCTACGAGATTCAAATTCTCCTCTTCAATTCCCTTCATACAAGTTTTAAGCTGTTCCAGTAGTAAGGAATCCATTTCAAGGACAAGTGAATTTTCACCTTGCGGGTCAAAATACTCGTTTTTTATTCCATCATCTGTTGAAGAGAGTGAAGAATGAAGAATAATAAGGGAGTAGCTGAAACCTGCTCCAAGAATGAGTAACTGCAAGCTAATCTTCATGAGCTGCACAATTAGACATCCGAGGAAGAAGTAGAGAAGATCAATTTCAACTCCGCAATGAGTTCGCCGTGACAAACTGAGTGACATGATAGCAAAGGAAGCACATGAAACGAGACTATATGCATCTGGTTTCCCATTCACCACTTTGTCAAAGAAGAATGAATAGACATAAGTGATTGTTAGCACCAGGAAAGCTGTATGAGCTTTGAATCGGAGACTTGAAGATGACTTCCATATATTTGCATAAAAAATCATGAGGCTGATGATGAAGCTGAAAAGAATGCAGAATGAGTAGCCGTGAGAATAATTCAAATTCGAACGATGATACAAATGCTAGAGCTAGCATATCAAGAATAGTGATGTTAACTGAAGCCTTATTCGAGGTTCTGGATGAAATTCACCAGCAATCAGTGGTTTTATCTTCCCACCTTTCTGTATCTTCTATCGGATTTGTTCCCTCGCCTGCTGAAGTTGCCGATTCCTTACCTATTAAAATATACACAAAGTCACACAAACATCAAGAAGAACTCAGCAGGCAATTTAGAAGTAGTGGTAGTTACCCTAAAAACGTCGACTCCCATATTCGTCTCAATAAGGGTACTTTGTTGAATTCGTTGTGGAAATTAAATGTAGTGGACATAGAAGTAACCCTTGCATACGTGTGTCAAATGGTGCTAAAGGAAAATGATGTCCAGGAGGGAACTCCTAGCCCGTCCACGGTTTAGCCCTGCATAGAAAGATTAAAAAGCAAAAATCAATAACAGTTAACAGTTCAGTTCTAAGAATTTGTAACAAAACAGAATTCCTCTTAAACTAACTTCTACTAACTACAAACAGAATTAACAGGATTTTCTAACTATCCTAACAAACTCCTAACAAACTCCTAACAAACTCTAAACAGTTTCTAACCAAATCCCATCTTCTAAACAATATAGCAGAAAATCTATATAACAGGGAGATTATCATTCAGTCGGAGGGTCATGATTTATGATTCAACACAAAAAAAAACTCACCTTCCAATTCTCTCTGAAATCGCATAATCATCAATATTGCTTCATCATCTTCTGAAATTTCTTCACAGTTCTTACTCTTCTCTGCAACCACCGCAAATTACTCCTCCAATCGAATTTCATCAACTTCATCTTCATGTTCTTTAAATCGCCCCTTCACCAGAATTACTCTACTCTTCATCACCCTCTCTCATCTTCAATAAATTGGATATCACAACCTCGATGCTTTAATCATTATCAACCCTACATCGCGTTTCTCACTGCAAAAAAAAACGTAAAGTATCAATTCCTCACATCAGTCCAGATTCAACCATCATCACCGAGTTTTCAACATTACAACTTGTTCAAAATTGCAAGAACAGAAGAAGAATGGAATGGAGGATGTACCTGATTTGTAACTGGACTTCTGGTCATTACAACACTGTCAAAAGCGTATCAAATGGGTCCCGGTTGATCTTTCGTGAACACTCCCTTTAGTCTCCATTCTTTACGGTTTCCACCCTCGTCACTGAGCTTTGAGTCTCGTTTCTCTGAATTCATCATCAATCATGTTTATCACAATAACAGCAGGTACAGAAGATAAAGAAAAATCAAGAAAAGAAGAGCAAAAAAAAACAGAAAAAGAATCTTCGTAACAACCTTCTCTACACTGCATTTTCCTTGCCTTTGCTTCTTCAACGACCACATCAATTTGCAAATTCGTCACTACTTCGCATCACAACTTCATACCATAATTGTGTCATAACTACACCATACCCCAACAACTTCCTAACAACAACAACTCCTCTTGCAACAAGAACAACAATGCAAAGAGCGCATCAACACAATCGCAGAAATTCACACAGGAAGATTAATCATGAATTTACAAGACCATCTGAATCGGAAGTGTATATACCCGAGCCTTAGCCGATATTCTATGGTTCACTCGTCATCATCTTTGGCTTGGAAAATCGATGAAAATTCTTTGGCTGACGAAGACACGAAGGAGATAAATTTAGACGACAAGCTGGGAAGAGGAGCGACGACGGAATCTTCGAAGTGGAATCCATCAATTGCAAAGAAGATGATGTATGATGGCAGTACGCCATTCGTGAGAAGAATTTCGTTGTTGTGATCGAAGGAGATTCGAGATGGGGGTTCAGAGTGGAATCGTAGCAAGTGAAGAATGGCGGTCGTTGGAGGTGAGATGATAAAGCCGCGGTGGATGGATTCATGAAAGAGGAAGAAGAAGTTGGATCATCTCAATTGCTGGAACCCCATCCTTTGGCCCAAACGGCAGCGTATTCGTTCCTCTCTCTCAAATCTACTGTTAATTTATTCCTAATAATTTTATTTTGTAAATCAATTAACAATATGCTGGTCAATGGAGGTTTGTGGACGTGTCAATTGTACTACCACTTTGAATGGGCATGGACCGAAAATGCTGGGCCCATAGCAATTTTTTTGAGAATGTCTTGAAGCTTGCTCCAAAAATGCTTAATGGACCTCATTCTGGTTAGATCTAGCGCCCCAATATTAGTCAGACACCCTGATTTCAATACTACGCCCCTTGTCCTCATAATCTTTAAGATTTTATTTTTACATATAATTTTGTCTATTTATTTTTATGATAAAATTCTAAAATCCATAAAAACTTGTTAGTTTTTTTGATTTAGGAATTCATTCTTGTTTGTTTGTTAGAATTTTCTCTATAAAAAATAATAATAATAATAAAAAAGTGGTAGTATATAATAGAATTTTTTCTAGAATTTCTTTTTAGAATTTTAATTAGAATTTTCTATTAGCGTTTATGTTTAGTAACCATTTTAGTTTTCATCTTTAGCTAAGATTTTGTGATAGAATATTGATGCAACTTTTGCAATATGGAATGCTTGTAGATTAATTCTATGATCACTCATGCAGAGCAGCTTTCGGTAGAGTCTCCTTATCACTTGTGTGGCTTTGAAGAGGCAACAGACCTTCTTCGTTCGGTATCATCATAACCTCAATTTATCCCTCATTTCCACACTTTATCATGTTTCTTTACCGCTTTTTCTAAAAATCATGAGAAGTAGGAGCTTTACCGTAATCCATGTGCATGCTAACATTAGGTAGACGTTTCCCTTTTATTCATCCTTGACTTAGGTCTAACAACGCATGATAAAATTAGGTTTAAAAATAGGCTAGTCTTCATGTGACTTTCTTTCCCCCTTTGTATATGCATTTAAAACAAAAACTTCTCTTTTTTTACAAACTTCAAAAATACATAAAAATTTACTGACAAGAACTATGTCTTGGCTAAGTTTGAGAGATGATAAGTGGGTTTCTTCTCGACCTTATTATTCTCTTGTTCTAAGCATTGGTATGATTCAAGCCTCAAAGAATCATTTCATGAATAAGTAGAGACATGGCTAAAATCTCTCTCTTAAGATTAACTAGCTATTATCTACAAGCAAAAACATCAACCAACACAAAATTCCTTTTGCCTTCGGGCCTTCCTTGCAAAATTCTTTTTAAAAAGAACATATTAATTCACTTCTGTGTTGACGCGTAAGTCTCCAACGGTCGAGTTGCGGCAGAAGGCGAAATTAATATCGTTCATTACAAACAAAAAAATTCAACCTTTTTTGTGCGCCCAGGCACATTTTTTCTCAAAAACTTTTCAAAAGAGCGTATTAATTCACTTCTGTGCTGACGCGTAAGTCTCCAAAGGTTGAGTTGTGGCAGAAGGCAAAATTAATGTTGTTCATAAAAAAATACAAATCAACAAAAACATAAGCCGAACTACGGCTGCTCTGATTCCTTAAAAGGGATACGTAGGCATCGGGGTAGGGCCTGAACGAGCATAATTTTTATTTTCCCTACATTCTTTTCTCCTTTACTTTGGATGCATTCCCTTAAGTAGTATAGTAAACAGTAAGCATAGATTAGACACACCCATAAGATAGACAACAAGAGTGGATACCGTAGAGTACTACGGGTGCGTGGGGTGCTAATACCTTCCCCTCGCGTAACAGACTCCCTTACCCTTATCTCTTGGTCGTTCGACCTTGATTTCACCCTTCTCAGGTTTTCTCGATGTTTACCTTTCCCTACCTTTGGGATAAAAGACGTTCGATGGCGACTTCATTGTTTGATGATTTTCAGCCGGTTGTTTCAATCTGGGGCAGTCAAGTCAAGATTCAAGGAATCTCTCAAAATGCCAAATAGCCAGGGGAAAATCTCCATCTGAATCAATTGGGGCATTGGACATGAATTCCAGCAATGAATCTTGCATGATCAAACATCTTCTGGTAGTATGGCAACACGACACTACAGACAGTTACAACTCCCTACACCCTGAGAGCATGGACATAATCAGAAAATACTACGCATAATCAAAGACCCGCTAGGTTGACTGGCCTAGTAAAAAATAAGGGCTTCCCGCCGAACCAAAAGGGTTCTGGCAAAAAAAATTAGGGATAAAAATGGAAAAAATCTATACACCCGGCAAGTCAAAAACCTGAAAAGGCGGCTTGGGAAAAAAAGGGTATCCCGATGGACTGAAAACCCGAAAGGGCGGTCCAGGAAAAAATTAGGGATCAAAGCGTACGACTATATCCCGTCATCTCGTCACTTGCCTACCAGAAGAAGACTTGTCATTTCAATCGAAAGATACCAAGCACCTCATAGGTTGGGATAATACTCGATCCACAAGGCCTCCGCAGGCACCTTCTCCTGCAGATACAGGGGCAGAAAAGTCTCGATGCAAATCCATCGTCATATCCTTAGAACGCGTCCCAGTAACATTCACTCCCCGTAGAGTAAGACAGTAATGATAACTCTCCCCCAGCTGAGACTTGCAACTATGAACGAATCAACAATACTCTCCCCAAGCAGAGTTGATCTACCATCAGCACTAGAAAGGCTTAATATCCCCGACAGTCTTAATATTCCCCAACGGAAGTATAAGAATATTCCCCGGAAGAATACAAGATACCCCAGGGGAGTCAATATTTCCCAGCACGATCTGAAAAAACTTCCCCAACGGAGTTGAAGCATCATCCCCAGTAAACTCTGGAAGTTTATCCCCAGCGGAGTACAAAAATAAATCTCCCCAGCCAAATTAAGAGGGTTATCCCCACAAGAGTCTAACAGGGTTATCCCTAGCAAGTCGCAACTGAAACATCATCCCCAGCGAAGTTCTTTCTTTCCCCAAACAGGAGTTCAATCCTCAAAAGATTCAATATCACCAGCAACGGTAATCCATCCCCAGCGGAGTTTATC